CGAATCAGGTCAGTTTTGACAGAGTGACGAAACTCGGAAGCCATGAAGTTTAAGAATTAGTTACTACAGCCATCATAATGATGCAAACACCATAGAACTAGACCAGCGTATACAACTGTGCTTGCTACCGTATAGCGAAACGAATCGGAACTATCCCTACGCAGCTGTCCTCGGTTCACAGTCGAAATGTTTTTTGAAGTGACGTCACAACACATTGAAAAGATGTGAAAGCTACCGACAAGCATATAGAGGGTTGTAAGAAATATAGCAACGTTGGTTCGTTAAATACTAACTCTCACCAGCTGAGAGTTTTTAACCGAAGAATACCAAATCTCTTACGTTTGTCTTCACGGAATTTTGGAACAGCCTTCTGGTGCCGGGCTTATCAGTAAGGAAGCTGTGTGATGTGAAGTCCCAAGCTTTGTTAACAGCATATTTTTCAGAGGTTCCATCTAAATCCTTCCTCTATTACAGTTACTCGCTGGTAGATGCTCCTTTGTTTACTCATCTAACAGGTCATTGAGCGTCCTGAAGAAGGTAGTCATAGAGGTATCAAATTGATTTCTTGTGTGATGGTCCCGATAAAGGATGCAGTACCGTCCCTTTGCAAGTGCTATATTACTGGACGGAAGGAAGGTTCTCTCCAGATATATGAAAAAATACATTTGCTCAGAATAGACTTTGGCTCAAATTCCAGTAATTTGATTTGGTGTAATGAAAAAACTTTTGATTTTAAAAAGCCCTATTACAAAAAGCAGGGTTCTAAAAGGGGCCTCGCATAAAAACAATGAGGAAAACCACCCTATATTGTTTAATCAGCCAACGGATCAGCGGGCCGTTAATAGATCCCCCATTATATGTATTTGGTGAACAGGGATTCCATTGGTATCGCGAGTAAAGCAGAAGCTAAGCTCCATTATATGACAGCATATTCACAGTGCCGTTTAACACCTTTCTCTGGGCTTATCGATAGCTTCCGTATCTGCTCGGTATTTTGCAACCACTTCACACAACGCTTTAATTGGGAACCGTCAGTAGCGACGAGAAGCAAATTCCGATTCGTATTTCTCTTCTGCAGCCAGTACCATCGAGTCCGCTGATTCAGTTCTGTATTGTTTGCACCGTTACGCTGGCTTTAACGACAGACTTCCTGAACTGCCCGACTTCCTCCACGTGGCTCATCTTGGTAACCGTTGGGTAAGATCAGTGTAGTATGATGCAGGGCGTTCCTGGACTTGCTTTCATCTACCAATAGGGGTTGCGGTTTCAAGATATTTCTATTACTTGCAAAAGTCACTCCTCTCAGTATTGTGCTCAATCGACAGCCACTCGTCATTTATTCGTTCGACAATACAGCCTACTCGTGTTTGACCGTCTGTGGCTGGTATGCTGTCACTCTCTTCCATGGAAACAAGTTTGACGTATTTCTTGTCAATCCCTTGAGTTGGCTTTAAACAAATCTAGTGCCTGACACCTATGTTTTGTATCCATAAGGTCTAAGTCCTTTGTATGGGATGGCAATACAAGTAGACTGATAGATTGTTGTCAATGAAACAATCTGGCCGTGGACTAAGTTAAACACATACCATTATAAAGTTTCGGTCAAGGATCCCTAATACTGAGCAGTCCAAATTCAGGGACACTTCGTGAGTTTCGGATGACTCAAGCTCTGTAAGCCACAAAGTAGTCAGTACATCTCATAAGACCAAATCATGGGCCCACGAGTCAAGAAACCAAAAACCCTATACGCCATAAACCGGGTAGGAACTTTGTTGAAAGGGATGAAGGCAATCATAAAGCTGAGAATTTCCGGAACTAAATCTGCGTCAAACAAACATGCTGAAAGCTGATTATTTTCTCGATTGGACCAGCTACCACCAGGAGTCTTGACTTATTAGCATGGAGACTTCAAAGTAACCGAACGCCAGCTAAACTATGGAAAACGGCGTTTTTTCTGTGTGAAGGAAATAAATACAAGGATTTCTAAAGTGCATTTTACCTGGTTCCCGTTTTCGAATGAGGAGTCAGCTGAGGCGAATGGCTGTAAACTCCGTTCCTCCTTCCTTCAGTTGTCACGAAAAGTCTATCAGAATGAAGAAGTACTCTTTTCGATTTTGTGGAGCGCTTGCGCTCCATCACCGGTGGTGTAAGTGGCTAGTAAAGGTATGAATCAACTCCGGCTCTTCGATTACCTCTCAATATGAGGCATGCTCATTTGTGCTAAGCATGTGAGTATGAGGTCGCACACTGAGGAAAAAGGTTTCTAGAACCAGATGCCTAGAACCGGAGCCTGCGTGGGTAACTGAAAAATAATTATTCATCAATGTAGATTTTTATATGTCGGGTGCAACAGAAGACTAGATTTTGGACATTCGAATTTCTCGACTTGGTTATATTGCAAAATCGAATGACGAAGATGAGCATATCCACCTCAGTTCATATTCGATTTCTCGGGATTTTCGTACACGACAGCGTGCAGAGCAAATTTATGGAGTTCAGTTTTTTTGGAGGAGGGAAGAGGTTGGAAACTTTGTGTTCGCCTGCATTTGCGCAAAATGTATTGAGGTACGGATCAGGAAAGTCTGCGTACGGTTTTAGGCAATGCTTGCATAACATAGTGGGACTGAAAAGATCAAATAAAGCCTATTCGTTTTTGATCAAGTGGCTGTTCGTGAAGTTTGACGGTTATCTTTTAAACCGTTCAACAACTACCGGGGAAGCACTATTAGTACGCGGGTAGATTAGTTTTCGACATGCTGATACAAATGTATAAATGTATAACATGCGGTTGTCCAGGTAACGTTTATGTGACTCGGGTGGCGACCGATGGTTTACCAACAACCAATAATATGCTATCCAAGTCCTAATGTGGATATGGCACCAAGGAATACAACGAATACTGAAAGAATTATCGACAGCTGAAGCAAACATGAAAAAATGCACTTTCATATCCATATGTATATATGTATATATATATTGTTGATAGTGTGAACAGATTTGGGATTTTTGTGGAGATTTCGTCCTGTAAGTGAAGCCAATCTATGCTGAAAAGCCGAGAAGCACTGTACAGCTGTTTCATCCTTATTGGGAATCATCAGCAGTGCGCATCTCACCAAACTCCGGAGAGTCTCGAACCCGCGACCTCCAGGGTAGTAGTTTGAACACAACCGTTCGGCCACGAGTGCCCGATCAGCAGTGTGACTAACTCGCACTTAGACAGGATATGGCGCTGCTCATCTTTCAATCACGAACGGTTAAGTGTTGAAACTACTAGCCGGGAGGTCGCGGGTTCGAGACTCTCCGGAGTTTCGTGAGATGCGCACTGCTGATGATTCCCAATAAGGGTGAAACAGCTGTACAGTGCTTCTCGGCTTATCAGCATAGATTGGCTTCACTTACAGGACGAAATCTCCACAAAAATCCCAAATCTCCTCACACTACCAACAATATATATGTATATATATTCGCACGTTAAATATGGGGCACATGATCTCGTGGTTTGGGTCCACTTAGAGAATTTAGCTGTTAGTTCATTGGCTAGGTGTATGGTGACTGATGTGCAATTGTCAGCTGGACAAACCGTACTCTGGGCAACATTTTCGGTATTTTAATTGGCGATACACTCATCACATAAGGGGGAGATCGCCGGCTTGATATCCTTCACATGCATCTCTTTTCCGCCCATCTTATGCGGTCTTGAATTCCTCACTTCTGGAATAAAAGCACGTAGTTGTTCACTAAACAATAGCATACAGTAGTGTGCTTCGTCAGATTTCTTTTACTTGCTTATTTTCAAGGAGACACTGTTTACATGACATATGTCAGATTACGGGAGATTTAAAAGTAGAAGTGACAACGTAGGCTCCTCGCGCTCCAAGGGATGCTGACGCACTAGATCTCGTGTAAATGCGAGTCACTCGTAATGCTCCAGTTGTGTCCGAAAGATGAAGTGTCCAACTGCTTTCAGAACAGTCACTTGTTAAAAACACTGTGCAGTTTGGCGAGGTGAACACTGCTGATGATTCCAAGCAAGGATACCTTTTCTGTATAGTGCTTCTAGGCTTTTCAGCACAGACTGACTTCATATGAGACCGACTCGTCATTTAAAATCCACGGATCTCATCATACTACCAATAAAATTTGTTGGACTGTTCATCAATTCATGTTGGGAATCGATTTAGTAAAGCATTCGATGATGAAGGTCATCTCGTTGTAAGGAAAAACGAATGGAGCAGGAAACTTCAGAAACACTGACTCTGTTACGTGTAAGACATTGATTTATCGACCGCGCTGCGAAGAATACTCAGTATGTTCCATCCGAGTTTCCCCGTTCATTTAAGTGCAATTCAAGTAAAGGATGGAGTTAGTTGATAAGTTACTTTGTAACTTCCGTAAACGGTTGCAGGGGTTTTATACCTGAGCGCAGTACCACGGCCATTTCGGGATACGTTGGCATGAATTATGGGTGCATGATTAAATTGGCAATCACCAGTTGTACACAGTGCAAAAGCAGTCAGGAAATAAACAATATTATTCAGTAAATTTACTATCCACGCATCAGATAGTTATGGGAAAAATTGTAGTGCTAGTTCCACGACAGAAAGTAATGAAAGTAGAACGTTACAAACAAGAACACAACTGCAGGAACAAATTTTCCCCAGTTTCGTTCCACAAGCGGTAATGTACTCTGATATTTTGAAGTTTAATTTTAACTTCGGCAAATCAGACCAAGCGAAAAGCTGAAACATCTCTTTTACCTTCCCCTCATACTAGCATCGGGGATTTCACCACAGGCTTGAACGTTCGAAAATGCAACTCCCAAGTTGAGAAAAATAACGTACCTCTGACAGTCGGCGATGATAACAAATAGAAGGACATGAGGGTAAATTGTCTCTACTCAAAGGTATAGCATCTCATATTGTGGATCGGGCGGAATGTGGTTGTGGAGTGTACAGTGAACTGGTTCCTCTGTGGCTTCAACTATCTTTGGGAATCTCAGAATGTTTTGGTGCGCTATAACCCTAGTCAGGTCACTGACAGCAAACGGGCGCGAACATAATGGAATCAATCCATCTTTATCACTCTACAGTGAGCCAAACAAATTCCCCTACAGATCCCTTATTGGCAAGAATACTGTTATAGGGTAATGTAGTGTTCCGGTTCTGAGGAATTACCATCAGTGGCGGTAACTACTGAATAGCTCACTCAAGTCTAGCCTAAAAGAGACAGTCCAATGAAACATTTTGTGGGTAAAAGTCGGATTAGTGTTGTACAGTGTAGGAATTCGTTCACTTATTTGGGGAGTTTTCGAAATTTGGGCATGGCCGATCAGTCATTGGTAAAACATTTGCGTTAGCTACCTTGACCTTTTACTGTTGTGCTTGAGCTAAGCCGGAGCAGCTCATTTGTCCTTTCGATTGTTGCCACCAAACACGAAATCGTCTGAGCCGAATCAGGAAAGTGAGCCATGCTGAAAGCACATATGAAGCTATAATCAAATTCCTTGGTGAAGTAGGTAAGGCGGTACTTGACAAGATAGAGAGAGCCCATTTTTGCAGACCCCTGTGATTAAAACGCAATAACTCAGCTGCCTAACATTAATTCTGACCCATTCGTTTGAGGATAGGTGTGTTCTTTGACATCCATCAACACTGGTCACTTGGGCATCAGCTGAAACAAAATTCCAAAGTTCTCCGTTTATATCTTTTAAAAACAAACACAAGGCATTGATGCTCCCTGCAGGCAGGTATTTGGTTGGTAAAATAAGCTGGAATTCACAAGAACCGTGAAAGGACTTTCCATCTCAGTCCGCTAGTTGAAGTCTGGGCGATACATCAAATAATCTTTTGTAAAAAAGAGCCTTTCAAAAAGAGCGAGCACTTCCGAGGACACAGAATAGTCACAAACCGTCAGATGTCCTAAATAAACAGGCTACTTTATTAACAGGCCAAAACAACCAGTGTTCCGCGGTGGAGACCTTTGATCCAGGTCATTACAAGAGTGCCGTGAATTCTGTTCCCCATTAACCACCGTGTTGAAAGTAACCCTGTTATACATAGGTTTTGCGCTGAATTATGTAAAGAAAGAGAGTAAAATCTACAGCCCTGTTTACCATGCCAACTAATACGAGACAAGCACGCGATCAAAATGAACGTATTATTTTTAAGCTGATTGGGCGAATGGTCCGTAGTTATTAATTATTCCAAGAACATTTCACTAGTCTGATAGCCTCTCCTAGAATATCACCAAATTAAAATATTTTCATTGAGCTTCTTATTGCAAATCTGTGTGACATATTTAACCCCGAAGCTTCTGCGACCATCCATTCTACTTAGGAATACACACATAAATGTGAGACTAATGCGACGTGTATTGAGATTTCCGAGGTACTTGACTTCATAGTTTCAAAAAAATTTTTCTCCGTGACGATGTCAAAATTACTTCAGCGAGTCTGAAAATCTGACTAGCCAGCCTTTTCAATGTTCTGAAAGACTGAAAAGAACGATAGTCTGGTCATCATGTCCATCCGTTTGGAGGAACTGACAAACAAGTTGTTGCCTCATCGTGGCGCTTTGTCCAAAACTGGGTCCGAGCATTATAACAAATTACAAGTCGAATCATTTAGTCTGAGCTTTGTTGGGCGAACGAAATGAATCGAATACATCCAGTCTTGGTTTCACTGGTTTGAAAGTTGTGCTCCAAACTGTGTAATCGCGATTGTTTGTGATTTTGTAAAAATGTATGCAGTAACTCTCCAGCGAAGGACCGTCATTTTAGAGAGGTCAGTATATAATTGCTCGATACACCCTATTCCGTATGACTGTTGCATAGTGTGAGCAAGTCGAAATTGCTCGATGTCCGCCCTTCTGAAATTTACAGTGTAACGCGTAGTGTAATATACAGCATCATGTTTTAATACATCTAATGCGTAATATATATATCTATGTACGCCATTTAAAATATGACATTGCTATTGCGTTTATATTATTGTGTACACTACAGATGGTAAAATATATTATATGCATAACTGACTGAAGATGTACTCGCCGAGAATGCTAAGCGCCAGTAGTATGAACGTTGGAGCCAAACGTGTGTAAAGAATTATTCGTTTTTAGGTAGCTTCTTCCCTAGAACTCACCCTTAGGTACACATGTAAGAAAATGAATGCTGGTTGTTACAGTTTATTCAAACCCACGATGTAGATACTTCCATGGACAAGACGGCTTTCAGCTTATGCAGGAAACATTCGAAGATCTGAAACAGCAGAAACTACATTGATAGTTCTCCCATTTATCAACGTAACGGTGGATATTACTGATGTGGCGTGCGGGTAGTATGCGGTTAGCTCGTAAACCCGCTTCGCGTCTATTGAAAAGTGAAATTTATTACGCTATTTGGGGAATTGCTTTGTCCGCATTTGAGTCGAGAGTTTTGTTTCCCTGTCCAATAGTCTGTAACTTTTCAGTTGGTGTCATCTAACAACTAACTGCGGAACATGTATAGGTTGACCAACAATGTATATATGTCTTACAGGACTGAAAAACTTGAAGTAAAAGCTCTATCCTGCCTTATCCGACATTTATTAAACAGCATGCATTGTGCACCAGAAGCTGAAGATGGCCTCGGTTGTTCCATTAACTTCAGCGTAACATAAGACTGATAACCTAAACAGGAAGCAAAGAGCTCATAAGCAGCCATGACTAGAAGATGATCCTATCCAAAGAATGGAATGGCTAACAGAAAAGGCATTTTGAACAAGAAACTGGGGACGAAACAGCCATTTTGCTACCATAATAGAATGGGATTGAATAGAACCACACGCGCGACGGTTCTTTTTTTCGTTTCGTGGTCACATATGGACAATACTTTGCGGCTAGAGAGTGCTCTCAAATTAGTCATTTTGGTGTGACAATCTGAGTTTAAATCTGGACGGGATATGTTTGATATAAAACGCGAGAAATCGTGAGTACCGCGTCATTAGAAACCTGTTACTGCCCCCCTGTAACAGTGAATCTGGTAGCTAGCGGAGATACAGTGTTGGGTAGGCTTTTACCGTCGGATAATATCTCCGAGATTTCCGGCAAACATGAGGGTACTGCTAGTAAGCTGAGAGGAAAAATCAGGTTGTATGTTCCTACAGGACAGAATTCTGGCCGTCTCATGTGACAAATGCGCTTAGCGACATGGGATAATAGATGACTGAAAAAATTTCAAAACGAAAAATGGAGCTAAGCATAACAATTAAGCGGAAGAATGTCTGAGGAACTCCTATTTTAGGTGGAGATAAATTTTTCTATATACGATGAACATCGAATGAATGTTTGGTAGTCATTGTAGGGTTCGAGTTTGTTAACGGAACCATCGTAAATAACTAACATTTTTCGGGTACTATCTAAAAATTTAGCGGCAACTTTGTAGAAATGGATCATGTTCACTTCACTACCAGCATATCAAAACACCAAAATGATTTTTTTGGTAGCTGTGGCATGAGGCAATGCATCGTCAACTCCATTTTTACTCGGTTCAACGGGTAAGTCAAACAAAAGCGAATGGCCACACATGGTGTTTCCGCTTGGGACAACAAGCTTGCGTAGATGTTCGTCACACTAGACAACGAATCTTCGGTGCACTCAGGTAGGACATTTAGGCTGACTAGATATCTGAGGGAGAAACAACCTGCTGCGTTGCATCACGATGTGGAGGTCAGAAACATTTAAAAATTTGAAGTTCACCACTATAGTAACAATATGACTATCATAAACAAGAGTTTCAGCTAGGTTCCAGGTGAGTCTCTTGTCAAAACCAAACTGGTATACAGATGAGTGTATAAGTCAGAGCTGTTGATCAGATTTACCACTGGAATGTTGTTAGTAGACACTATGGCAAAGACATAACCTCTTGTGTGGGAGAAATTCTTCTGGTAGAAACAACTCGCCTTTGAGTTCACGTTTTGTCAAACAACAAGCGTATGGTTAATTTCGAAAAGAAAAGTAGATCGTAACCACTTGGCCCAGCCGCTGATGCTAGCCATCAAACAGATATCACACGTCCAGTTGGGTCGCATCGCTACAGTTGGTCGATGTTCTTGCAGTCGGCGTTTGTTTCAGATTAAATTTGTTGGAAAAATAATTGCAGCTTCCATGATAACATCACGCAAACTTTTAAGACTGGCTACATTGCACCATTATCATAATTAGTAGAACGAGAACGCAGGGGATGACCCTGCAGACTAACAAGTGAATAGCAGGATTTTTGGTGTTTACTGCAAGAAGTTTTGAATATCTTATTAATTACATTTTTGTTTCTCAGCAAATTTTGGGAAGAGCCGTTCAAAATGTGGGGATAGTAAATTAAGATCTATTATTTTCCATTTCATCCATCGAAAGTGCGAACATTTTAGGATTTTATCAATATACTCAGCTACCCTGAAGAGCGGCGCCATCGATAACAATCTTTCATTATAAACAGTGATCACAATATTTTTGTTGTGGGAGAAACACTGCTTCCCTAGAGCAACTTGAAAAAATCACATAGTTGTAGGCTCTTGTTAAAACTGTCACGCTAATGCATTCTGTTAGTAGAGTTTTCTGGCCATGCTTTTAGGTAACCGGTACCATCCTTGATGTAGGTCAGTAACCACGTATAGTGATGGAACATCTAAGTGTTTTCAGCATTTACGAGTGTACCGTTATGTGGCTGCGATTAAGTCTAATTAAAGAAAACTGCCACTAATCGGGACCAAAAAGAGGGTATAGATTAGTCGTTTCATTGGGGCGAGTCTCAGCTATTGAGAAACTTTTGTTGAGTTCCTCAACAATTGTTTTTGGATTTAGTCAACATCCGACTCAAAATAACTATAATTCAACCGATCAGAGACGGGTACTTCTTGACTACATTAAACGTAGACCGCTTACTTGTGCAACAAATTTCGTCAGGCACACCAACCACATCGCTAAAATGTGAACACGCTCGCCTGTTCAGACGTGAAAATTCAGATGCGTTTAACGTGCGTTGGTGGAGTAGTGGTTACACACTCGCATCGCATGTCAGATGTCTGGGGTTCAAATCCCGGCAAAGCCATTGGCACTGCTGACAAGCTCTAATAAGAGCAAAGCTCGAGTCCAGTGCTTCCATTTGGTGTGGACTCACCGGAGTAATTACGCCAGGACAAGAGCACTCTCGTTCAAAAGAGAGTGGTGTGACCATGAACAAAATTTCGTTTCATTTTTATCCCACCTGTAATGATAAAAATGAATGCACCCGTTTAGATGTAACATTCTTCGGGATCTAGCTACAACGCTACCCAATGGAAGCATGAGAGCTGGGATACTGCGATGTTGCACAAGCCTGGATAGGAGAAGTCGAGATGCAGAAGTTGGGTTCAAACGACAGACATGCACTCTAACCACTGATTGATCTCGCCGTCTCACTTTCAGAGGTGTGCATTGAATTTTATTTTAGACATTTGGAATGAAAACGGAGTAGTTTGTGCGGAAGTGTAAATGGTTTGATTTGTTAAACTTTCATGAAGAATGGTTTGGTACATCGCTACTTCATGAATAAGGCTGGATTAAGAGAAGTGTTCAATTTAGTGGTAATATAAGCTCTACTAATGTGAGCGTCACTGAAGACAAAAATCTCTGGAAGCACTTCCAAAAAGTAGTGCCGATGCGAAAATGTACAAAATTTAAACGGATTTGAAGAAACAAAAATGTGCCAGAGGTGAGATTCAGCACGCAAAGCTTCCGCCATTTGTAAAAATATCCGCCCTATTTTGTACTGATGGATTTCAGTAAAGCAATATGGAATGGGGGAATTCTTATCTCGATTTGAGTGTCCGTTAGCTTACTGTTAGACGACTGCTTATGTTCTCGCTGGAATTTTGCTTCAGTCAGAAATCGCACATCTTTATATGACGACATTTTCTAAACTGAGGTCGCTTTCGGCCCCAGTGTTAACCGAACCGGTACGCAACACAGATGGTAAATTGATGGGCTGATGACTTGTGTATTTACTCCACTTGACTGGCAGTCGGTACATCAAAATAAAATAACCCGACCAAGATAATCCTCGTCCAGTGAATCGTAAATGATGGATATCATATCATTTCAGAGAGCGAGATGAATAAACATATCAAGTTCACTTCTTGTTCATTATGCAAAACGATGCGGAAGTGCTACAGATATTTTGACACTACAGCGAGATAAATGGTTAGCAGGTTGTCAGACCAGTGTGCTGTTCTGTTGTATATTTAATCGACAAATTTATGGACATGGTTCGATGTGCGGCGAGAAAACAAACTGATACGGCCACAGGGATGTAAGTTTCTGACAGACTATCACGACTGTTATTAATCCCCTTCCACCCTGAAAGAGGGTTGGATTAATCACAATGATATGCTGAACGCATCAGAAACTTTATGGTGGATATGCCAAATAAATAACGAGTTCGGGTACACATTTCAAGTTTGAGTCTGTCAGTTTGGAACCCAGCTGAACAGTGTTGGAATCGTTGGGGATATCTTCACACATACCTATCTATACCTACATCTGTTCCTAATTCACTTTCGAAAAAAAACAGGGCCTCTTACAAAGCAATAAAACTTCATTCTGTATTAAATATCTAGCGTTCAGGATAAGCGATGATGGCCAGCTTAGACAGCAAACGAATTGTTTTCGTTTATTATTTATAAAGCGAAAATTCTATCTGCTATTGAGCTCAGGTTGACTTTCAACCGACAACCAGACACCCAAGCGTTGAACATCACAGGATATGTTTGAACTTGTAGGTTGCATTACTGTTCTCCATAGTCTCTAAAAATATTTTCTCGCTTCCCATGTTTGCGATTCAAACCAGACTGCTGAAAGCAATAAACGGCTGAAAGGCGCAACAAAAATGGGCGGACCACTTAAGATTCTTCTGGGAAACAAAATGTATCCTGCTGGCGTGTCCTCTCCCCTAAAACTTTAGGCCTATTAAGACCATACACAGAGGGTATTTCCGATCCCTCTTTACTACTTCGTGTAACAAAACACTTGCGTGACGCAGTTCGGAACTTTAAAGTGGAGAACTGAAAGCATTCTGGTAAACCATTTTCCGAGTTCTTCGTTATCTGCTTAAACCACAGAAGCCATTCTAACAAAAGCCATACTAACATATTTCGATATGTTACCTTAGCCACAGTAAGAAGGCATCTCGTTTGACAGAAGATACAGTACCGAAGAATACAATACATTTTTCAAATGTAGAGACTGTTTTACGGATCCGCGCAAACAACAAGTTGCTCTCGTTGTAACTCAAAATCTCACAACCAGCAAAGACAGAAATTTGATTGAATTTCGCGCAGGTTCATGAACTGAACGTTGTTATACTTTCTATTAGATCACAAAACCGATCCTCAAGATAAACGGCCAACTAACCATGCAGTCTGGCTCATTGCTTTGAAAAGATCAGCGCTGCAGAAGCCACAATGATATTTTAGGTACTTAGATGGTTCTGAGGTAAAATCGATCCCCAGGACAAAAATTCACTTTTAAGCCACTTTTTCATTTTTAAGCCACTATATTCTTATTCTTACAGTGTATCCTAGGTGAAACGATGACCGCGTTTACATCCACACTCATTTTACTATTTGGCAGCTTCGAGGGTTTCGTGGGCTTACTTGAAGTGGGTGAAAAACCGGTTTGGTAACACTTTTGACCATGTAAAAGTTTGGAGTTAAAAAAGCTAGGACACAAATCGGCGTATTTGCCAATGCCCAAGTGTTTGGGGCCTTTTGGTTATGAGATCGGTTTTGTTGCAATACTGAAAGACTTCTTTGTTATATAACCATTCTGTAGTTTCCATCCCGTGCCGGCCGAATAATTACACGAAAGTAATGAAGAACGGGATAGGAACAAGCCACAATTAAAAGTAAGTCTCCGGAATAATCAGGTCAAATTTGTTTCCATTTTCACTTCAGTCTACTCAATTACGAAAAGGGGGAAAGCTGTCGAGCCCCTGGACAGCCAGGAAACCACAAAATGTATGCCGTGGAGAAAAGACGTCAGTGAATTATAGGATTTTTTTCTGGTTTGAGTGAAAAAATTAGAAATATTTCAACGGACCACCAACCATTCTCGGCTTTCATTTCGGACATCGACCCACCGTATGGGTAGCGTATATGGATAGAACCTTGCGCGATACAAGGAGCAACAAACTGTCGTTAAAAGAGCACCTTCTAAACAACATGTACTCACATGTACACATCACAATAAAAGTGACTGAGCACTATTCACTACGGCTACTAATGGATTATGATTACAAACTAAATTACATCAGAAAGAAAAGCACACGGACCGGATTATTTAGTAACCGAAGTGTTACAAACAAAGTTGCGTTCTGAATATATTTGAAGGATTAAAAATGCACTGTGATACCTGGTCAAAAGTGAAATAGGGTAGGTGGAACGTTTACGTAAGTTTAACAATAGATTTCCAAGGAAATTTACCCGGAGGTTCTTACATGAAAACAAAGCCAGGTTTCTTTGACAGCCCAGCCAGACCACAAATGGGTAGTGCGTCCGTAAAACAAAAAATTACCGGAACAACTGCAAGGCACAAAACCATGAAATAACAGCGGTCCACAAATCTTCGAACTTTTCAGAAGAAACCGGAGTAAAGAATGAATGGTGGAAACAAACATCGTCCATAATCCTTTATAACCGCGCTGGTAAGGCTGGAAGGAAACTCGCCAAGGTTTGTGGGGTAAGCACCGTATTTGAATTGGGTAGTTGTTCAGATGGTCGCCCATACAAAAAATAGAAATGAAATATCTAAAATCATGATTGACAAACTAATCGACGTCGATCCAGTCTAACTAGAGGGAGATTACCAAACGGCTGAATCCAGCAAAATGTGTGAAACCAGACAAAAGAATGATGAAAAATTGGGCAATCAAATCAAATAAGGAAAACTATAAACGAAAGTCGTCCATTTAGAAAATCAGTGAAAGTTAACCAGCTCGTAGCACAACAAGAGAAGGGGAAAAATACTGGGGCGAAATTGTTGAAGTAGATGCATCCGATGAACACGCTAAGTAATGTAACTACAGTGCACTTCGGACTTTGAACGGCCGACGGAATTTACGTGTAAGTCTCACCACAACCACTCAGTCACCGGCAGAGTTTTAAATACTTTTAAAGACGTAATACACTACTCATAATGTTACTAAGAATTTTTCGACAGCCCACGACCGGTTTTGCTTCTCTGGAGGCTCATCTGGTAGGCAACCCCCCCAATTTTCCACAAATCCTCTTGATGCAGCTGACATTAATCAAAATATCTGTATAAATTCATAACCGGAGAGCATATACATGCCAAAGGCACGGTTCTGGTGGTACATTGGGCATCCCGTCGTCTGAGTTAACTCAGAAATCCAATTACACGTGACCAGTCGGTAATTCTTCATATGAAAATCGTAGTGACACACTTTGAGAAACCTCAGTAATATGGACAAAAGCAATGTTACACGTTGATGTCCGGCAGTTGTACAAACCATCGCTTTTAGATGTGGAAGAATAATGGGAAGATTGTTGTTTTGGACAATCTGTTGAATGAAATTTTAAAGCAAAATTGTCATGAAAGCCAACAGAAAAATCCATCATACCACATTCAGTGTTAACTGAGCGTTTTCGCCTGGGAAGATCAACATTATTAAAAACACATTCTATTCTCAAGCCGCTTGACCTCATTTGACTTCATTTTGAAACAGGTTTTTATTCGTCTACCGATATGATTAAAATTTGGTGGAGAAAATACTATATGTGAGCATAAGATCTACATCACATTGTTATTCTTCAGAGGGGACGGTGGCAATTAGGTGGCTCAAACAGGTATAGGCGGATTTGATCATGCAATATTTTTCACGTTCAGTTCAATATTATTTCCATAATACAGGGCATCACAAAAACACGAGTATTTGCATACCCTCTGCCTTCAAGTGTTGATATGTGCAGATAGAGAATGAGGATTGAAAGCTAATCAGTCAACTACCTAATATACCACTGTCGTTGTACAACTCTGCTCTTTCTGAAGGACATGAATTAGGCTATGCGCTATTACCTCGAACAGGATGATCGAATCCGCCAAGAACGGTAGCTATCTCCTGAAAATATGTTGGACACCTTGTGTCCGGTAGGTACATAACATTCCTGTCCAAAGCCGTGGTGGTATACTAGATCACGAACCTTCAGTACGTGCACAATTACCATATTCTGCTCATATTCGGGCGGACGCTTCATATTGAGCGGCCGCCGTAAAGCTTTTTTTCCAGCCGGTGGCTAGTTTTCGTAGGTTTAGACGCATGGCTTTTAGGACGGCGGCTTCTGACAAAAAGTTATTCGCTCACACTTTGGGGAAGACTATGGGATATCAGGGTGGAACACTCAAAAGGAATGAATAGATCACTAGAACTGAAAAAATCCTGTGATGTGGTAACATTTCCTTTAATTTCTCCCGGACGAAAGAGAGTAAAAGTAGTATTAAACAAATCTATGACCAGTGTTAATTAAATGCCTAGAGTGGTCAGTATTTCGGACTCAACAGATCTTCTGTTCTTGCTGGGGATGTTTGATAGTCCCCATACCACAGGGACGTAGATGATCGCATCCCGCAATTTTTTGAAATCTAACTACTCTGCCCGTAAGTTACTTGTGGCCGGGAAGAAAACAGTTGAGAACTGTTGTCATCTGATCAAACTATACTGGGAACAACTTGAATGATTTGGATAATTTTGGGATAGCGATTAAGTATATGATATTTTTTATACGCACTGTTCACTTCTTCGTAAGCAAACGTATGTAAAATTTTTTCGCGAGGACTACCTGTTTCAGATCTACTATGGATGATGTTAATAAGTCAACCGAACCTTCCACAAGCCGACACGTATAATAACAGCGGAGTACTGCAGAAAACGGGAAATCAATACACAAGGAATAATTTATGGTTCTCCAGGATCTTATTCAGAACGAACTATCCTCCAGAGTGAGAAACAAAAAAACGGCGGAAGTAGCAAAACATTTCCAGTAGTATCATATCAGTGCATAATGATAATTTATTATTATTTTTGAAGAGTATGCTCACAGTCATAAAAAAGTAAATTCGAGCGATCGATTCATATATATCCACTACTTTCTGCACGCACTGGAATCCTATAGCCGTTGAGTTGTATTTTAATGTTGATTACTATGTTTTTATCACCAAACAGTCCTGGTTCAGGTTCTAAACCTGGTCATTTTTCAGACCATGGGAAAGAAGGCTCGTGAAATGTAATGATGGTTAATTTTTCCGGATATCGTCTGATGCGGCGCTTCGTACCAGGTGTTGAGTCAGCCTTGAGATTTTGCAAATCAGCACTTAAAGTTGATCCACAGCCTCAACATATAACTTGGCTCAGGAGATTGGCTAGGTTGGTTGTATGAGAGAGGAATAGTCACATGTTTCACCCAGACTCAGTTCGGCGTACTTATGAGGATGCTCTGAGACAGAGGTCGTCTCTCAAGTATGCACCTGATGGTGATTTGCTTTGCGGTATCGCAAAATCCTTACAGCCGGAACATGAGGCAGCCTATTGCAGCACTCTCAGTTGAACAATACCAATATACACCAATACACCAATATACACCGGATTCACTTGAGCCTCCGTTTAAAAACAAATGAGTGAGCAAATGAGAGCATCTGGCAAACTTCATTCGGTTTGGGTCCAGGAAGAACATGAGGTTGACGGATTCATTCTAACTGATGAGCCTCAAGGAGGGTAAAAACCGCATTTAGCTCTCAAAGAGCTCTCAGCAACCATCCGAGCGGTGTGTTTAGTGGAGACGTGTCTATGGTTGCGTTTATTCCTTCAACTGGAATGCCTTTTGGTTGTAAGGTTTGGAATGACTAATCGCGCGTTTTAAACAATCAATACTGTGAATAAAGAAGTATGCGGGAATAACAGTTGGAAAATAATATTTCCGAATAACCAATGCACTTATATCGCGAGTTGAACGTCTAAAGATACATCTGGATCGCATCACATAGAGCATGAGAAAATGCTTCCAGAGGCTCCGAAGGATCATGAGGTGACGGAATGACACTACTTTTCGTGTCTACGGTAAGCCCCGGTTAATTGTCTCTGACAGTTATCATAATTAAAAAGTAAAAGTATTACAGATTCAGGCTCAGTCGAATTTCATTGCATTAAATTGTGCATCAGCATAAGTAGTAGTTTGCTAGTTAAGCCAAGTATTCCATAGTCTGAGGATTTCGTTGATAACGATCAATTTTGCATTGTAAAAAACGCAGGAGTCAAATATGATTTCAGCTATTCCTATCAGCCTTGCTTGTTAAGATATTTCATTAATAATATCGACACCAGCAATTCGGATAAAGTTTTTGAGGGAGATAAGTGGCTTGCTGATCAAAATAAAGTCTTACAAAATCCAACAAGCAGTGAAATACTTGTCGAATAAAAACGTATTACGGTCTATGACAAACCAACAGAACATAAAAGATAGGATGGCGATGCAAATAGTTACGGATTAATGGGAGTGACAGGCATACGTTTACTTTACACTTACATTCATAGCGGAAACTAGCCTGGGAGAATGCATGACCCTATAGACGCCAATTTCTTCAAAAAGGGTTCGCAATCGTTCAATATTAGGACCACATCTTGTTTTGGGTGTGCGTCCCGTTTCTTCTGTTGGTTGAATATGGTTTGGATCTTTTCGAACTCCTGAGAAACTCAGTTCATTTGCTTCCAAATCACTTTCATCGTGGGGACATTCGTCATCCGTTAGGGAAAAAGCTTTCAGTAGGACACGCTTCCTTCGTCGAAAAGGGACATTCCCTCCTCCTGCCACACCATCGATATGAATCATTTCATCGTTTGGAATCTCATCTTCTACAGGCTTACCGTAATATCGACGTACAAGTGACCGGACTACCGAAGTGAATAGCGAGATGGAACAGTAGTTTTCACAGGTATTACGACAGGTCCGGGAATATAGTGCACGAAAGACGTCGGCCAAATAATCACCAATATTTGATAAATAGAGAACGACCAGCGGAATACCAATTAGTGCGTAGAAAATTGTCAGAATTTTGCCTTGGGCGGTCTTTGGAGTTGTGTATCCATAACCTGTGTGGGAAAACAAAACGCTTATACTCAGTAGTATTTCTAATGAGCCGGTGGAAACATGGGCATATTTTAGTCTAAAAAATATTGTTTTTTTCTTTAACAGGCATCAATACGCTAATAAATGTGTTTATTCAGACAAGCAATACTCGGCACACTCATTGTGACCTTTCATGGAACATGGTATTTTTTCAGTCACAAGCCAGACGGTTACACGGAAAGAAATCGATTAAAACCATTGAAGTGTGTTTTATGGGAGTTTTCACACGTAGAACGAAACACTATCAGTCCATTCAATCATAAATATAGACACAAGTGGATCGGTTGGAAGTTCAGTACTGTTTTCCACGGGCTTTAATACGCTCGTTCTAAATTTAGTCTTGAAGGATGAAGTGGCTATTGGATCAAATTATCTCTTTTGCCATTTGCTGGGTAATTAGCATTTTATCAATTAGGCCATATCAATCATTGTCGGAGTATTATGAGTTCCGAAATGTCACGAATAGCGTAACCCACTGGACAAAATTCATCCGAAAAAATGAGCCACTGCTTTAACATTTGGGTGTTCTTCAAGGAAATCCAGGCATTACGAACTTACTTGGGTTACAATTTCCCTTAATTACAAAATATATTTTCCAAAGCAAACATCTTTAATATCTTCCAGACGTAAAATTCTTTCACCGAGAATTGATCTTGCTGTTTTCTTAATTCGGTCCCTCTCTAGAAGTAACCGGCAAATGAACACCACGCTGTTTAGACAGTGCGAATAACAGGGTAATCGTAGATATTTTGTCGTTATTGATTCACCTCGGTGGCTTCGATAACAAACCAGAATAAAGAGGTTCTTTCTTAATTAGTACGCGGAAAAAAGGTGTGACATACATGAAGCGTAAACCAAGGAAACGTAAACAAAAAACTGAACAAACGCGATGGAGGTTGGACCTGCGATTTTCAGTTACTGGGTGTTGTCTCGGCCATCGCAAAAAATGTCCAAATTCATACCTACGTAATTTGACTTTTACCATAAGCGCATTTTTGGTTATAAGTAACGGAATTTTGCCTTCTGCAATGTTAGCGTCAACAGCGTTAAATTTTACAGGAAACCAAAGGAACACCACCGGGGTTCCTCAAATGGGGGAAGATAGAATTAATCGATCGGTTCATCGGTTTTCCCTTCTGCCGAATTTTAAGGAACAGCAAGTTTCTTTGGTTCGAATTCGCATTTCTTGTTTGATTCAGAGGATTTTTGTGTTAACTAGTCACAGCTTCTCACGGAATGCCAGATGGCTACCATCGTTCTTGGCACACCAAGGAAAATGAAGCTATTTCCGTGCGTGAATGTTTGAAACTAAATCATTCTCTCGGAAGTCTCGTCCCTAATTTGAAGAAGTACTGACTGAATCATGTGTAGCTAGGTCACATCGTTCCTGAAGACACATTAGTTACAATGAAGGAGTCTAGGCATTCAATTCGTAGTCCATCCGCTCCGGGTAAAGTGCGCAACCCAATTGGTCAACAACACCGACTACTAGCACTCTCGCTGATGCCACACGTTCATACGCATTAGATTACAGCCTTGCACAATCTAATAGAGAAGGTCAACCTGTTCAGTCTACTTTGTACATCTTTAGTTCTTGACGGCTTCAACAAGCCCACGCTGTCGTAACAGAATCTTTATTTCAACCAAACTAAACACACTGATTAACAAGTACACCTGAATATTTCGGACACTGATGAAGATGTTATTTTACTTGCAAAACAAGATCATCCAGATCATCCTCAGAAGGACCAAAACGGACATAAACCATATTTGATCAAAGAATATGTTTGTCTTCGGTCTGAACTGTCCCAGTTGGCTGCCCGATGAACAAAAAGTATCAACACTGGTCTGCTTAAAACCAACTGGAAAAAATTACTCTTTTTTATTCTCTGCATGTCCTCTAACAAAAGTCCAGCACAAAGGGTGAATTAAATGAATTAAGAAAAACCTGCTTCGAAACCTCGTAAACCCATTTGTATTAACTAGCAAATTTTCACTCACTGAGTGGAATTAATTAAGCAGATGAAAACAAACATTAATACGGGTAAGCCATCCATCTATTGACCCAAGCTGACTGGCCCTCATTCACAGAAATAGGCATCTTGGATTTGTCACCCTGAACTGATAATGTAAGTTGGAGCGCCCCGATGATTACCCTTTTACTAGTCAGGTTTTCATCAACTGGATCCATCAGGTCGTGCAACGATGATAAGCACTTAAAGAACGGGATTTTCAAAGAATTATATGTTATTAACCACTGATTACCAGTTATTGTTTGTTGGATAAGGCAGATGGAAAGAATCAACGTTTCTCAAAGAATGGACGAGGACGTTCTGCACACCACTGAGTGGTATGTCGTCAAGAAAACAATCCCCATATTCATCCATGCATCCATTCTACAAACTGCGTATCCTCACGACTGTATACAGGTGCAAGTCTGCGGGAAGGGCACACACTATTGTGTATTGACGTCAATGCTGCTTCATGTGCGGTCATGTTGATGTGCTACAGATGTGACTGAGTCCTGTCACGGGTACGAATTTACACAGGGACAGCTGAGTCAAGTTGTCCCAGATGGGTTGTATTTTGGCTCGTCGTAGTGATATGACAGGGACAGATTGGCTGACCTAGATTAAACTGCATGCTAACATCGCAACCTGCGCTGCCTTTCACGAAACTAGACTTACCAGGTGAACGATCGATAGATACCGCTGGGCCGCACGCGCAGCCAGGACGCGAATGCGAACAGCCAACCATTACCGTTGAATTTGAAGAAAGGCAATATTCCAGACTGATTTTATGGGGTATGCATAAACACCGGGAGAATTCAGGCCGAGAGACAGTTAGTGATCAGTGTCTTTTCCTCCTCAAGCAGCCAGTCATGAAAAAAGTCAGCAATGAACTCTAGTACGGTTTTGTTCTCCCCCCGGATATCTAACGTCACTACTCGGACGACCAGTTCAGTAACATGAAATAAGGTCCTTGTTAGCCATTCATCAATACCGGCACAATTATTCTGCTTAGTCCAACTCACAACGTGCACTGTAGTTTCATTCAATTTGAGGCTATCATCAGTGCTTGTTACGAACGTAAATAATCTCCTCGAATATATGTTGCTATCTATTAACTGGAGCGTGTTCTCTCACCCGGCAACGCCGACGACCACCCAGGGGGAATTTGGCTTGCACTCATCGACGTGAAACCAAGTACGGCGCCACCCGATAGGAGGCTGATGGCTAAAATGAATAGATGTTTTCAGGCGAGCTTAAACATTTTCCCAGTTGGATCAGAAACATCTGATATCATTCTCTGTAACTTGTCCCCCATCCCAATGAGCCCCACATCCTTTGCAAAGTTTGTAATCACAAACGTTTCGGTTATATCTACAAAAATTCTTTCACAGACGGCGTACAAGATAATGACTTACAAATTGTGCATTCGGTGGATGGTTGATGGTAAATTACTATGGACGAAGCTTGACTCACGAAATTTTCTACACCCAAAACAATATATCCTTAAGAGGACATTACTCATATGGCTGGTAGAAACTGTTGGACAGCCCACCCTTTTTTGATTCATCACGTAGACGCAATCGATCAGTTTTTGCCTAACTGAACCCAAATTGGACGGAACTCGCGAACTTCTCTCATTCGCGGATCAAATGAATACCGGTTGAATCTATCGTTTACAATCTTCGCGTATCACACACACTCGTACCGTGAAATCCAAAATCAAGTACATGACGTGCTCTCCGTCAGAGGCCCAACACCAACACACAAATGGGTACTCCCAAGGATTACATCGCGTATGGTGCCACGCTGATTAGTGTCATCAGCACTTTGTATTGTTTATCTCTCAGTCATGTTTTTGGAAAAGGTCATCCTCAATGGTCTGATATCAGAATTTTTGTATCTGATAACTCATGTAATTTCGGACATTCCCATTATCGACATCTATCGAACATTGCTCCCTAAAAATCCGTCTTATGATGCCTTTCTTCCTTTTCAAAACCCAATAGTTTGGCTTCTGGGTTGTGCCTTCTCAGTAATCCCTACTAAGCTCGGTTGTTTGAGCTCCGGAGCATGTTTACAGTAAACTTTCGGTAAACTCAGGAGCTAGTCTTCTGAAAGACTCACTCAATAATTAGAGAAATAATCCGAAAACTTGTAACTATTCGGGTTATTCGTCGCCTTTAATACGTGGTGTCTACGTGTTAAAGTAGTGAATTGTACCAAGAATGTACTCATTATCTAGAGGTTGGTTCCTTCCTCGAGATCATTCTTGAGGGGATATTCCAAGTGCATGAAGAATAATACGATTTTCGCACCACTTTTGGATAAATTCACCGATAAACCTAGCCTGTGGTAATTTGTGTGCAATTCACCCATCCAGCTTCATAGAACTACCTCCGCCAATCGATCACGTTAACTGACGAACATATGATTGACACTGAGAGTCCCGGTGGTTCTATGATCACCTCACCCAATGGCTAAAGTCAATTTTATTGGCTGTTGTAGTTCAGTTTTGCGTTTTTTGATCGCTGAGCCGCGTATCTGAGTTCCAACATTCAGAACCGTCAGTTTAATGGGTACGACTTACCCGAAAGTCATCTTTTTAAAAAGAACGTGTCAAATGTGACAAAAAGTAATTCTGGATAAAAAGCATGAATTAAAACAACTGACTGACACTGTCTGCATTTCATTGCCCCACTCACTTGTATGAACCAAAAGTGTGCAAACGTACTTCCTGGTTTTCACTCAAAACGGCAGACTTCGAGCTCTGGTGGAGTATGAACTCCAGGACCAACAATTTAGCTGACACAGCCTAATAATCATTACGATATACATTGTCATGAATTGCGCTTGGTAGACGTGCCTCAAAATTGCTGAATTGAAAAAAACACCTTAAAATAAGGGCTACTTTTATGAAATTTGCAGCTTTCCTATGCCTTGAACTAGCAGGCCATTCCCTACCGACTTCTACCAGGATTTAGCATCCTTCATTTCTTAGAACAGACAAGGGATATCGTTGACACCAAGAAGACCGCTTTTGAATTTCTGCCGCATATGTGTTGCGGAAAGGGAACAAAACCAGTTTCCTTAGTTCGTCCGAGTATAATAATTTAAGAAAAATTAACACAAAACTAAACACACAAACTACGAGCGTCTTCTTCATCTTGAAACAGCTTGTATTCCTGATCACGTATCTTCCAGAACCGAATATGAGAGCTACCTGCCATCATTTTCAACCTGTCAGTACGTACCAGCAAAAACACAACAAGTTTTGTTCATCCAAGAAGATGGTAAAAATAAGGAATAGCAGTGATAATATGGAATTTGTTTCTATGCAATGATAAATGTCATGGCTCCCTCGAGGAACGATCTGTTTTGAAGTGCTCGTTTTTTCAATTTTCGGGGTGCTTTCATGTTCAGAAAACCACAATGACCTCCAGATAGTCTGAGCATTTTATTGCAAGGTGTTTTTAATTTTTTTGAAGGCAAAGTGTGATTTTTGACCACAAATTTTTCAAAGAAAAAAGCTTAGTGTGCTTTTCAAATGCCCAAATTACACCTGACGTTAGTGAGGTCGGTTTAACCTATTAGGTTCACTTCCATCAAAATGAACGGAAATAGGCAAATTTTTTTCGAGATCATACTTTATTCAGTATCTTTGTATCTGGCATGATGAGCTATCGGAAAAAAACAGAAGAAGGAACTAAAATTAAATTTGAAGCGGAACGACCCTCTTAGTCTCACACTGATTGTGTACCCGGAGGTAATATCTACTCGGCCAAATTTTCAAGTTTTGATTCCATATAGAACCATCAAAACTAGCAGACGGTCACTGGTTTGTTGAATTGCCTCCAGTTCTTGGTTTTTTTAATTGACGTGATTAGATGCATGGCGGCGCTTTAAAACGAGAACAAAGAGTTCCTGCCATCCTGCAGTCCCACTGAGTGCTTGAGGAATATGGGCCTGAAAAAACACTCGGGCAAGCAGAGATTTTCTTCTTTTGGTTGATGGTTCAACAGTTTTTCACTCAAATCGCTTCTTTTAAGCGAAACGCAAAATGCGGAATTATAACTGATTTCTTCATCTGGAATAACATCCGCTCAATTTTTTTCTTTGGCGACAAAACGGTGATGGTTTCCAAATGTTTCACTAAGAGGAATATAGATGGGGTATCGTGCACTTCAAAATAACGGATGAACTCTTAGGTATCTTCCTCTGCTATTCTACGGTGAAGTGCGCTTGAGCTTCACACGAGAAATATGACTGGCTCTATAAGTATAGCTGGATTTCAGAATACCAGATTCCGCTAAGTTTTAGGTTAGTATTAGGACACGACATAAGAGGACTTAGTCCGGAAAACTGAGTGCAGTTAATCATCCGCGCAACTACGGTCTCATAATAAGCCAACAATATCCGAGCCAACTTAATATAACATTCACATTTCATTGAACTTAGAATACATTTCTGAATTGTATACCCTATCAACCTGCATCCGCGTGATTATCCCCCTGTGTTGAAAGGAGCCATAAGAACTCTTTTCTGATTATTAGTATTTCCCTACTGAGATGTCATCCAAACTGAGTGGACCTAACAATTTGCTTCCTATTTATTTGTTGAAATTTAAAATTCAGTTTTGGACAGGAGCTCCAATCCAAAAAGTGGAGGATATATTGTATTGTTAAGTGCTCTCTTCCTTTTGCGAGTTCAAAAGCACAAAAGAATTCGGTCTCCCTGAACAGATGCCTTTATTTTACAGGAACAAACGGCTCAGCACTTGCGTAAGATATTCTCAAGTGTGTGATTTTATCTGATGAGGCTTGGAATGAATCAAGGGTCCTTATATAAACCTACAGAACTGCGCTTCACAGTTGTGCGAATATGTAAAGCAATACATAAACTGTGTTGGTTCGTCTCTACTTTCGCAGTTAGGGATAGAAACATTAAAATCGTCTTTTGAAAAGGTTGCGTCAACTGGTTTTTGTTTTTTTTGTGTGCTGGAGTTGTCCGAATTTTAGTCTAGCGGCCTGATAGTGAAAGCTTCTTCAATTAATTTGTGCATTAAAATTTGGTCTCATCATTTGATAACAAATAAGATCTTTTTTCGCAACACACTGCTCACAAGTTTGCTGAAAATTCTTCGACAGCCCAAGACCGGTTTCGCCCTTTTTGGGGCTCATCAGGTATGCGCAGTCCCCGAGTTTCAATCAACCTCATCTATCTTTACTTAGACCAAAAGACTTCACACCGTTGGTAAATATTGCGGCCAGGTTAACGTTCACAGCTAGAAGCTATTTCAGATGGACGGGAGTTTCACTCAGAACCGCACGAGACAAATTAATTTCAGTTTCAGCCACTTTTTATTTGGTGTTATTGATGGGCTCATTGCCTGACTTAGGCGGACGATCAATCAACTCTGCTTTACGCACTTCTAAATTTGCAAGTGAGAATATACCCTCTTAGTGAGTAACGCTTTATCTAATTAGGGAGCAGCTTTAAGCATTCAACCGGTCAGTATACATAGTGGCTACAACAACAGGATTGAATACTAATTAACCAATTAACTATTTATCTTGAAGAATCTTCTAAACCTAAACGGAGATCCCAGAAAAGTGAATTCTGCGAATACATTGAGTCGTGCCGGGTTTATATAAATTACGTTTGGCTCTGAGCAATTCAGAGTTTATGCTGGTGCTTCACCCTGGTAACACAAAGCACTGCATGTTTTTTTAACAGCGCTCTTATATCCAGTCCTCCCAGTGAAATTTTTCGAACTCTTCAATAAGCTCCAATTTCGAGGTTTACGCCTGTGAAAATATCAGGCTACTAACGTCATTTTTTGGGTCACATGTAATGACTTCCTTAATCCCGTGACCCTTCAATAGGCCAGTATTAACAAGGTCATACAGCCGTGGTGCTCTTAGCTGGTTCAGGTAATTTGTTCATTACTGAACGTTTAGTAAGGCAAACTAATAAGATGTGTGTTGATTTTGCTGGAATGCGATAAGCTTTGTATTTATTTTCCTCTTAATGTGCATTCGGGAGATCGAAGAAGCAATGGATATTTGAGTAGTGCGTACTCAATCTACAGTGCTCCAGTTCTAATCATTTGGATGTACTGCAGCCGTTTAATACTTATGTTGAACTCATTCGCTTAGTCTATCGCCTTCGGAAAAAGGTTATATAGTAACGTAGTTGATTAGGGTTTTTGTTTTTTCTCTAGTTCGATTTTCTTTCATTTTTACGCTCGCTGTAAGGTGATCCTTTTAAGCAAGCGGAATGATTTTTTTTACTACATCCTTTTTTTATCGAACAATGTGTCACGTATTTTGTAGGTTGTGGAACGACTGTTTGACGGCGTTGCTGATTGTTTCTACTAAGGTCAGCATCTTTCATTCACTCTCAGGCCATCAAATTAGTCCAAGTTGGCACTACCTTTCCAAATAACTTTGAGTCCTCCGGTAACAAAATTCTGTGCCGTTCGTATCATTTGTACATTGGTTAGGTCCTTACTCCACACTCCCCTGCAGTTGTTTTTGTTTTCATTGTTCCTATTCAGTCCTTCACAATTAATTTCATGGCTTTGTCGGTTTCCCTCGTAGGTGTAATTTGTTGTTCCACTGCGACCCCAAGTTTCTGTGAGATTTCAGTTTTCACCGTTTTTAAGCAGGCCTGGGCTTTTTAAGCAGCAACTGCTCCATAAATTCCTGACGGTTACAGCATCCCTGGCGACCAGGTTAGAGATAGCATACTTCCTGTAAAAAATAGATAAACGATTTTAAACTTGAATGAAATACCCTATGATCAGGCATCGATAACGAATCTCCGAATGGTGACCAAACTTTTGCAATCTGATTGTCAGGGCGGCGAACAGCAACCAGTTTAACAGCCAGTTAAGACCAAATATTTTGATATATGATCAAGGGGAACTGTTTATTTTATCGGATAAACTTGTGTTTTGCGTTTCTATTGTGGCGTTTACTATCCCTGTATCCAAACACACCGTATCTCACAATGATTCTATTTGGTAAAATTAACCTTTCGTTCAGAGGAGATTGGCCAGTAGAAATCAACACGCACTCAGATGGGCAATAGCGCCATTCATCCTTCAATCGCTGGGTCCACATCAGCTGGTCAGACGTGTTGACTCTGTCCTTCTGTCTAATAGCGAGTTAATAACACTGATGCTTAGTCGCTCGTGCCGAACGGTTAATTATTCCAACCAGTAATCAGGTGCCTACAGGTTCAAGACTCTTTGAAGTTTCTGGAGATGCCCAACACTGATGCTTTACAATGAATATGAAAGAGATATAGAGTGTTCCTCGTTTTCGCAACATAGATTAGCTTCAGTAACGGGACGAAGCATCCAATATATATATATATATATCAGCTGAACCCATTTGATAGCGTGAATCTTGCTCTCAGTGATACCACTTTTGCTAAATTCACTATTGGTTCATGACCATGTTGCCAGCTGAAAGTAGGAAAGAGATTATTGGGTTTAAATTTTTTTCACCAATCAGTATGCCGTTAAATTACTCCGCTACTATGAGCAGTTTGTGACCTAAACAGTGAGATTTTTGGGTAAATTTTTACCTGCATTTCACGCCGTCAACATGAACAAATGAAGATGGAAGTTCTCCTCCTTTTACTGATGAGCACCTTGCAACCAGTTTTGCTCAACTGTTTAATGTATGGCAAAACGAAAAATTAAATACACTTTAATCTTTATAGTCTCCCACTTTTTTGTTCTGTACCGGCACGAAATTTCGACTTTCCGAGTGCACCGGACAAATGATATTTATGGGAGATTTTTGCTTCTTAAGCGACTTCCCGGACAATAAGACTCACTTGTTACTGGCGTCGAAGTTTGACGTTTAATGACACTGGATCACAGGATAAATGGAAGTGGAGCAAAAAGGAGAATTGTCTGGAACTTGGATACATCTTCCGGTGTTTTTTATGTCTATATTCATAAATTTCAAAAGCCCAAGCTGAAGTGGGTTGCAACTGGATGGTATTTATTTTCATGCTTGTCCGATGGATCGAGGAGGTAGAAGTGAGTGATGTCAATTGCTGTGGTGATTTGGAGCACTATTATATTTGCGTCTGAATACACCTATCCACTAAAAATTCGTCTGACCGATGTGATGAGTGTCAGCATAGGATAACCACGAAACGCATTCAAATATATATCATACGAAAAAACGTCTGTAGAAACTCGTCAAAGGCTCCGCAATTAAGCTGATTTAATCGTGATCTTCAGTGCTGTTACGCGGACGCTTCATCAAATAGCACTTCAGACATAAACGCATAGGTTGTCCCAAAAGTCTCCTAGGCCGGGGTCTAGAATCGAAGACCAAGAAACAGCACTCCTGTTTCCTGATGGATGAAAGTTGCAGGAAAGTTACTGAATGTGTCATGTTACGCTTTTTGTTTACCAATCGAAAAAATGTTACTATCGAAAATATGCTATCACAACGGATATGCAAAAGCTGTGCAGGACACGCGACTGGTGAAACTGATAAGGTCTCAGGCTACATGCGTGGAAAAGAGAAAATACATGTATATTCAGTAAGTAAGCAGCAACGTTGGGAGAATCTGATCTGCTTCTAATTTTGGCACTTTAGAACTTGGTGTATTTCGGCTTATTGATATAGTTCGCTTATCCTGCGTGCTGGCATAAATGGATAAGCTTGATCTAATCACGAAAGTTATCAGGACTGACTAATAACGGTAAGAACATGCTGTTGATTTTGGTTGCTTATTCCGAGGAGGTTTTACATGTTTTCTGCTGCAAATTACGATTCTGCGCCACTCGTTTTGTCATGCAGTTTTATCACCGGTGAACCTAGGCCAACAACCAAACGAATACAAAAAGTCAGGTCAAGTACCGGAAGCTGGCTGCCTAATATGGAGTAAATTAGGTCTAAGAATTCCAAAAAAAATTGCGTAACGCTCATACAGCCACCCTCTATGACCTACTTGGCAAAGGCTATTTTCTCCTCTGTCAGTCCTATTTTTTAGGGTATATATTTTTGCTCCAAGGTGGTGCGCCTGGTATTAGCGTAGGCTCCGCGGAAACGCTATGTGGTACCCCCAATATGTGCAGGTGCGCAAAGGACTAAACACTGATTTGGTTGCTAATCCCTCACGCGTGCACATGGAATCGGTTCCAGGGTTGAAGCTGTCAACTTTTTGTGATGAATGGTCCTTAGGACTGAAGTGATTCCGTGAATTACACTGCCGAAAAGGCCAAAGAGGCACTACCACATGAAGGGCATTGAATCTCATACTGTATTAAAGACCTCATTACGAGTCACTCTAGCAATAAATCTGTACTGCTCGTCGAGACAGGCGTGTGAGACACCACGTGTTTATACCCGACGATTACAACTCCTTACCTATTGAATCTGCCATGTTACCTTCACCGAGGCGGGTCAGGTTAGGAAATGTCGGCCCTAAAACGGTGCCCTTCGACCATCAACAAAACTATCATGACCATCAGCACAGCGCAAAACACCATCAGGACAAAATTTAAAGGTCCAGTGGTACTAGAAATGTACCCACTCTAAATGATGGCAATGGCCCTCATCATTTTATTCCTCAATTCTTCGTTGTCAGGCTTGGTGAGCGCTCCACTGGTTTGTGGCTTGGACCTAAAAATCAAGAACTGAGATCGCGATAGCTAAACTGAGCTCTCCTATTTTCGGACCAAGAATCCAAAAAGCTACACTTCCCCACACGATACGCTGATCGCAAAAGGTCTGAAGACAAGTTTCCCACTTCAATGAACCTTGGAGTTGAGGGCTTTCTAGCGTAAGAATGAAGGCGATATACTGTTGTTGCACGAAAAACAAAAAATGGTGGAGTTCGAAGCACTCAGTAGGGTCCGATTTGTTGGCGAATGAAAGTTAGAGAGGACTGGCTCTGGTTATGTCTCCTACTGCTGTCGACTAGCACATGGATGCCGACAGGCACTGGAATCGGCTTCGCAGTCACATATAAGGTTATCCAGAAATCAATCGATTAGACGAACTGCATCACGTCTGAAATAGCCGCAGCATTATTCCGGCAGGCAAGGGCAGGTTTTGTCCAATTTATCGTCTGTTAACACAGTATCTAACTTAAGCAACTTAAAGCTCAGATTCCACTATTCACTGCCAGACGTGGTCAGATTTGCACCTCGTTGGGCACCTTTTTCTTGTTCGAGGATTTGAACTTTTGGGGTGGCTGAATCTGGGAAAACTAGAAGAGGATATTGGTTCCATTTATTATTGGATTAAGGAATGATAATGATGGGGGAGGACTGTTGCCGCGTGCATCATTCGAACATCGATACTAAGCTTGTGGTTCAATTTGAGGCGAATATGGCTTAGTAATCGGATTTTTTCGGGACTCTCTTCCATGATAAACCATACCACTGTGTGATAAAGAGATCATCGTTATGTAGTGATCGCTAAAGTGACGCGTGGAGCTCAGTGTTGCGCGCATCACCCCTGGGTGCGCGATAAATTACGCTTCGCATGTGGAATACTGCCTTGTCGGAGATCGCCAGAGAATCCATTCAATCAGTTAGTCAAGCATGTTTTTGAAGTGTAAAGAAGATAATGGCGCATAAAAAGTTCCGGACACACTCGACAGTAAGTTGTTTGAGGAAGCAGTCGCACTGTTTACACTTAGACTTAAATAAAAATGGAGGGGAGATTAATCTGAGGAGAATGGCTCATCGAAATCTACCCTGGTTCTTGGGTAGAATTTAAAACTCGCCACAACACTTCATATTCCAGTAAACACAAACATCAAGAGCAACTTGGAGGCAGAAAACAAAAAATAGTGGCGAATTCAAAAAAGCCAAGAGCTCCAGTAATAAATGGATCGTTGTTGTTACACAAGATTATCTATGGGGCCAGGAGGAATCTGG